ACCCCTGCACGCACAACCTGCCAAAAGCCCAGGGTGGTGCCACTGTCGGTCCCTTGTTCAGCATGTAGACCCTTAGGACCCTCAGGGCCGGAACCCCGAAACGCCTCAGCGCCTCGGATTCTTCCTTCATTCTTCCCAGCCCCGTTTGTTCGCCTGCGCGCGCCCTAAGAGATCCCTTCCGCCCTGACCTCCACGGAGGACGACGGTGCCTGGAAGGTGGCCTTCGAGAACTGCCTGCAAGCTGTGCTAGGCGCCGGGTCTCAGTTTAAGCTTCAAGGTTTAGAGCACGTCCGTCTCGGAACCTCGAAAGTTGACCGAACCGAGAAGACAGCAGAAGAACAGAAGACCATCAGTCGGAGGCTTGTGCACCTCGCCAGAGTTTCTCTCCTTGTGCGTTCGGTCCGTTTTGCCTCCGGATGTGCTGCGCTTGCAGCCACCAGCCCCTAAAGCCTCCCTGCTGTGTGCCACAGGCATCTTGCATCAAGACCAGGCACCCTGTAAGGCCCGAACCCCTCGAAAGGGCTGAGTAACGGTCAGCGTGGCCCTTCCGCAGGCCTCCGCTCCTCGGCGCCCGCCTCAGCTAAACCTCGGGCTGAACGTTGAGAGTGTAGCCCACTTCCCACCCCAAGCCTGTCCAAAGCCCAAAGCAACTTCCCCCTTTGGAGTCACGTTCCCACCGTCTCGGACACCGGCAGCTGTGGTCAGCTCAAACATGCTGAAACGTACTTGAAAACGGAGTCCCACAAGCATTGTCTGAGGCCTTTGAGCAGCTGGAGGAGATGATGCTCCTCGGTTTGGGCCACGATCCGCAGGCCATGCAAGACGAACATGTTCAAGGGACTAAAGGAGGGACCCTTGTATGGTGGATAGGGATGAACAACAATAGAAAAGCGCCAAAAACAGGGAGCGATAAAGATAAAGAGCCAAACTATTATGAACCCTAGGCCCTGAACCCTAGGCCCTAAACCCTAGGCCCTAAACCCTAGGCCTTAAATCCTAAAACCCTAAACCCTAAACCCTAAACCCTATACCCTCTTCCCTAAACCCTAAACCCTAAACCTAAAACCCTAAACCCTAAACCCTAAACCCTATACCCTCTTCCCTAAACCCTAAACCCTAAACCCTAAGCCCTAAACCCTCGGTTGTTTTTTGTTTTGGTCCTTTTCTATGTTGATCCGGCAACCACCCTTTGTAAGGGGCCTTAGGCGTTACATAGGATTCTTTTGGGGGATATATAGGGCTATATGGGGTATATACAGGGGTTAAATCGGGGAAAAAGAATCAGGTCCCTTCTAGGTGTCTCTCTCCTTATGCCCTTAACATGTGTGCCGGGGCGGGCTGCAAAAGTCCGCGTAGGTTTTGGCTTCGGCTGAGCTCAGTTTGAAGCTCGGCTTGCGGCTTCAAACTCAGATGAGCCTCCCCACCCCGCAGTGATCCGAGAGGCATTCCTTTTTCTTTTTTCTCTCTCTGCCAGGGCTCCGTTTCGATCCTCCGTTTCCCTTCCCGTCTCCATTAAAGTGAGGTTAGCCTCAGCAGAGGTTTGCTCCCCCCTCCCCCCCACCCCTCTGTCGGCCAAGGCGTGCTTGGGAAGATGCAGTGTGCTTTTCCTGTGAGCCGGGGGGGCTGGGGCTTCATCTTTGCATCGCAGGCAGCTGGCCTCAGGGACTACACCTTAGGCCGGGGCCTTTGCTGTCTTCTTGGGCTTGCCAAGCCCAGCTCGATCTGACAGCTCCATGTCCTGGCACGAAACAACACAGAACCTGCGACTGAAACAGGGGCCACGCTTGGCGCAGGCTCGTTTGCAAAGGTGCGGGGGAAGGGGGGGGCGGGGATTGTGGGTTTTGGGAAGCCTGTTTTTAAATGATGGTTTTGGATTTGGATGTAAAGATGCTTATGGATTCGGATGTGATGCCTGGCATTGCTGCCGGGTGCAGCTGTGGATTTCCGACGATTGCTGGTCGTCTTCGTAGGTACTTAGTGTAGCGCTCATTGCGGGTCTGGCGGAGCCTGCTTAGCAGGTTGCTGGCAAACAGGTCCAGCGTGCTGTTAAACAAATCATGTCAGGTGCTTCCACCCCTCACTGGTCTCATCCTTCTAGCGCTCCCGTCCGCATTCATCCACATGGGAATATGGCCCTTATAGCCGCTAAGGGCGGAGGGTTGTGCTTTCATGCGTCTTGCATAGCCGAAGCCCCAGAAGCCTGGGAAGGTCAAGCTTGCAACCCGCATCTCGACGGAAGAGACGGTGGCTCTGAAAGCTGGGGCCTCGGTGGAGGTATCGGGCCGTATAGGCGTGCATGGGCAGAGATGAGAAGCATTCTCAAGGCTTCTCAGCGCGCTAATCTCACGTAGGGCCTGCACGAAGGCTATGTCATGCTATGTCGTTACCCTTGTAGCCTTTCTGGCACCAGCCGGTGCCTTCCATCCGCCCAGATCCTTCGCAACCGGTCCTGGCACGATGCGAAGAAGGTGCACGATGAGGCAGGACATGGCAGGACTGGCGGCCAGCGCGGGCTGCGACGCAAGCCGATCGCTGACCCGGCGTGCTTCTCTGACAGGCGCAGATTTTGAAGCGCTTCTGGCACCCCAACATAGCCGCAGCCCTGGGAGCGGACTTTCCAGGGTTGCTGATGCTTGTCGCAATGTTGCTGTGTGTTGTTGTATGTTGTTGTATGTTGCTTGTATGTTGTTGGTGCAGCCTTTGTGTGCCTGACCCTTGTCACGCAGCGAGCTTCGCGGGGGTAAAGGCGAAGGAGTTGCCTTGCTTCGAGACATGCCAGATGCTTCAGAAACGCAAGGATCGCACAACGTCGCGTCGCACCCGCGCGCGCACGCAGGGAGTCGCACGGGCTTTCAGGCACACAGGCACGCACGCACGCATTGGGGTTGAGCTGTGCCACACACTGCTCTGGATTCGAGAGAACGTAAGGTAGGCCAACCAGCAGTGTCTTTGTTCGGCATAGATTGCTGAAAGGGACCGCTGCCCCCCCCTTTTGCACGTGCACAGCGAGGAGGAACTCAGCCCAGAACTGTCCGCACCACAGATCAGGTGAAGATGCATGAGGTGGTTTCGACGCGCCGTCGATCGTTCATCATCATGGAGTGCCTCACCGGAGCCTGTGCTGCTTGAGTTTTTCTGGAGTCTGGACATGGTGCTGAGTTTCACAAGCTTCTCAAACTTCTCAGGCTCTGAGAACCCTGAACTTTCAGAGTTCGTGCGTGTTCCTGGTGGCGCTCCTGTCAGGTACGTAGGCGGTGGGGACCTATTTGAATATGTCCACAAGCAGCGGCGCCTTGAGCAGCCCGAGGTGCGCATCGACAAATGCGTGTCGAGCCTACTCAGTGAGTATCCCCCGCACCTTTGCTCCCTGCCCACTCCAAGAACACTTCCCGGGAGCTCATCTTAAAGGTGGAGAGCCAGTGGAGAGCCTTTTTCCCAACCAAAAATCGCGGCTTCCAGCTTGCGGCTTGCGGCAGGCCCGCCGCATGTTCCGCCAGATCATGGCCGGCCTCGAGGAGGCCCTTGCCATGCGCGCGTGCGGCTACATTGTTGGGTGGGGATCGTATTTCGGTTTTTGCATGTTCGTTCTGCAGCAGCTTGGGTTTGACATTGTGGGCTGGGAGCAGCGTGAAGAAGCTGGCCGCCCCCCTTGCGTTGTCCAACAGGAAGAAGATCAGACTAGACTCATTGTCCGAGAACTGGGTACCAAAGATCTCCTGAGAAGAGTGCACGTTGCGAGGTTCACGCCGCCAAAGTCGCGCACGGAGACCTCAAGCAGTGCACTCAGTGCACTCGGAGCCTCAAGATCGCTTGTGATGTCGCGTTGCTCTTTTGGATCTCGGGTTGCCGCCCCTTTGAAAAAGGGTATGAGAGAATATCCCAGATAGGAAGCAGATGGCAGGCAGTGCCAGACACCTCGTGCCAAGCAAACGGGCTTCTATGAGGTTCATGTGAGTTGAACGGTTCCTGGCTAAGGAAGGGCAAATGGGTCTTTCAAGTTTCGCCGCAGGATCTCCTTCCTCGAGGAACAGTGCTGCATGTTCCGGGGGGGGGGGGGGGGCGGGGGAGGAATGTTGGTGGGGCGGAGTGGAAAGCAGGGCGCTGTCTGTTCACCGACTTGAGGAGGCCGTTTCGACAAAAGTAGAGGAACGCACGCCAGCCGACCTTCAAGAGGGGGAGAAGCACGGGGCGGACAGCGCCGGAACTTTTCGGGCGCAGACGGAATGCGGGAAAGGTCCGCCTGTTCACCCTACCGTTCACCCGTTTACGGTGCCGACGTGGGATCCTGCCCCGAAGACCCGAACTTCCCAAACTCCTAGCAGCTCTCGGAGGCCCACCGGATCACCGCAAACTTGGAGTGTGAGAACCGGCACAGGCTCGAGAACCTCCTCCTGGACGAGGAGGGCAACGTGAAAATCGCGGACTTCGGCCTGAGCACAGCACTCGCTCCTGGGCCGGGGCACCCAGTGTTTGTGGAGCCTAAGCCTTGTGCCGCCAAAGCCAACGCACTTCCCAACGCTACGATTGTATGTCATACAGGGCACTCTGGGCACTTGCCATTGACTCAAGTTTCCAAGCCTGCACTGTTTTTTCATCCACCACGGAACCCTGCAATGCAAGACTACAAGCCCGAGAGCCGCAGGGAAACGCGGATCACATCAACTTATGGGTCCGTGGCGTATGCAGCCCCAGAAGTTTTACAAGGCACGGCAGGGGTTCAGCTTTGATGAGCGACTGGCAACGGTGATCATGTGGTAGTATGTGTGGCTCGTCATCCTCCCTACTGGTACCCCAAAGTCGATGCAAGAGGAATCTGCTTGAGCATGGTCTCTCGAGTTCGTCGTGGAGCGACTGGCGGATGTTGACAATCTGATAAGCCGCCGTTCGGTTGTGCTGTTGCCTCCTGTTGTCTGCTGTCTGACTTTTCGAGGCAGAGAGTACGCAGCGCCCCCAGCTGTCACCGGATCGCTTTCCGTGCGGTCAGCGTCGACGATCTTCGATCTTGGGTGAAAGCTCCCCTGAAGCCGAAGCCGTGAGGTCCCGTACCCCGCCGACCTGTGGAGCTGCGGGGTCATCCTGTACATTATGATCTGCGGGTGCGAGCCGTTTAAGGCACTCCCGTTCGGCGCCTGAGCTCGCCGCAGCTGGTCAGCTTGTCGCCCCAGCCCGGAAGTAGCCACTCATTGCCAAACCTGGATGCAGGGCCTGGACGATCACCACCTGCGCCGACAGATCCTCTCTGCGAGCTACAAGATCCCCTTGTTCACCTCCCCGGTGCGCAGGGGGGGGGGTTGGGGGATGATCAGGGGCGAGTAGCGGCTAGAGTCTAAAGTCCAGGGCCTAGGGTCCAGGTAGGTTGGGATCCGAACGTGGAAGAAATACTTGCTTTCCCTCAAACCCTGCTCCCTTTTTTCTCACCTTCCACCCCGTTTTTTTTGTCCGCATCGTCATCCCAACATCATCTTTCCCTGTTCCCTCAAATCTTCCTCTACAGCATTTCCGGCACCTTTTTATGCGTGGACGATTCGGGGATGATTCAAGCTTTCCGGGCAAGGAGGCCCGGAAGAGGCACGAAAAGGCAGCGGAGGCTCTGGAAAAAAGGCCGAGCTTTTCCGGGGCCTCCTTGAAACTTTGAAGGGGGGGGGGGGCCCCATCTCGTTCCGGGGGACGGCGGGAGGGGGGCCATTCGGGAGCGAGGATGGTTGTAGGACGATCTTGAGGATCATTTTGACAATGATTTTAGGAAGATTGGGTAGCCGGAATTTTTCCAAGAGGATGGTCTTAGGACGATGTTGAGGATTATTTCGAGGACGATTCTAGGAAGATTGTGGGCAGCCGGAATGTTGAGAGAGGATGATTTCAGGATGAGGTTGAGGATAATTAACGCTTGTGCGCGCCGCCTCGGCAGCCGGGCTGGCCCAACGCGGGGTGCAGCGTGTGCAACGGTCCTAGCAGGGGTCGCAGGGGCTTTGTTGGGGGTCCCCAGTGATTGGTCCGAAAAATTTTTAGCTGGGGGGCAAGGGTCCTGGTCTGCATGTTCTGGATGGAAGCCGAGGCGAGTTTCGAGGATGATTCTAGGAAGCTTGGGAAGATTGAAAAGGAAGATATATGGCAAACACATATGCTATCGAAACCCAATATTGGGCTTTAAACAGAACCTTAACAAGACCCAGATTCCGCACCTGCGAAGCCCCAGACACTACTTTCGCAATTTTCTGCCGACACGCTGGGTCGAGCACCGTCACCTTGTGCGCATCGGGTGTATGGGGTGTATCCTGGTGAAAATCCCCGAAGTGGCGGGGGGGTGGAGACCTTGGCTCTGTCAGGAAGGAATCGACCTGATCGCCGGCCTCCTCAGAGTGAAGCCCTGGCTCCTGGGCGGCGCTTGAAGGGGCGGCAGTTTTTAGTTTTGTTACTTCGTGCTTTTGCTTGCTGAATTTGTTCTCTGGGCTCGCGGCTCTGGGCAACTAGGGTTTCTCGCTGGCTCTTCGGCATGGGAGGGGACGCAGGCCAGCGTTGTGGAGACACCGGTGCCCTCCGAGGTCCCGCTTCTCCATCGCGCAGGTTCGGGCCCATGCCTGGCCCGGGGGCCCATGCGGATGTCGGGGAGGGAAGGCAAGAGGCAAGACGCCAGAACCGCTGCAGCTGACTGTAGTTACTTCACGGTTAGCAGATTGCTCTGCATCCGCCGAGGTACCGCCGAGTCGAGGAGGCCTTGCCGAAGGACGCTGCTGAGACCTTGCAGGTGGGAATCCGTTTTGGGGCTTTTCACGCGCGTGGGTGTTGGATGCTTACTGGCTTCTTGGAGCTTGGCATGAGATGCCCGGAGTGATACAGCCCGCCCTCCTTCTGGCTTTCCAGCACTGTTGTAGCCGGACCCGAGAAGACTGTTTTGGAACGCATGAGGTGAAGACCGGGCATGCCGGGTGCAGCAGCCTCATGAGGCGCGCGCCAAATCTGGAATCCTGCTATGCCTCACGGCAGACACGCAAGCCGTCGGGGTCCGTGCACCCTTTTCTCTCAGGAATTCCTGGCGCGCGGCCGGGTGTGAGCCTCTGAGTGCCAATTGTTAGCCTCTACTGTGCCTGTGCACAGTATTCGATTGTGCAACGGCTGTTACGCCTCCAAAGGAGGCCAGGTCTGCGATCAAAAACTCCCAGAAAAGCAGCGTAGTGCCAGCGCATGGAGATGCATGCATGAACGGTTCAGCCTGGATGCAGAATGCTGGCGACCGTTCTGGCTCGAACGTGCTGCTTCGTGCAGCTGTGTGCAACTCACAGCATGCGACAAGCCTGGACATCAAATCGCCTGACGTCTTAGAGCTAAATATGTAACAGAACATTGCTGAGTCCTCAACTCAGAAAGCACTTGGAACACCGGACACCAAAGATCTGTTGCATCTTTTGGACTAGGCTCAGAGAATTCACTCTTGAGATTGCCCACCCAGACATCTCCTATCAAGCAACTCCGAAAGGACTTTCGTGCATTGCAGGGAATTTGATGTTGACTCTGAAGCGTTTTGGACACAAGGGTACCTCTCTCTAAACGCCGACGACCGCTCCAGGCTGGAACGTACAGCTTCGTGCAGCTGTGTGCACGTCAGAATATGCGAGAAGCCTGAATATCAACCCGCTGGACGTCTTAAAACACATTGATAACAGAACACCACCGAGTCCTCAACAGCGGACAGCAAAGCTCTGTTTACGCGCCATGTTGGCCCCACAGCGTCCCGAGGAGGCACGTGTCGCATCCGTCCAAGCTTGAGACCTTCAAAAGGCTTCTGCAAACCTCAACCCCTAGAGCTTAACCTGCTTAAGCTCGCGTCAAGGCCACACCATGTTCAGGTGTTATAGGGGTTGAGGGTTCTAGGGTTCCATTTTGGGACTCACTCTAGATTCCAAAAAATCAAAATCCCCCAGCAGCCTGAAGACGTGGACCTGGCATCTCAAGCCTCTGAACCTTGTAAATGCCCTATAGGCCTTGAGAATTCTACAATGCCGAAGAAGCTTGAACCTCGGCCCATTAGTTCCCAAAGAAGATTCGTTCATGCGTTCATTCTCAAAGATATGGCAGCCGTTGGGCCAAAGGATCATGAAAGTTGACAAGGCAAATTTTCGGCTCAGTCTCTCGGAACACCCTTTCAACCCCAGATCGCCAGGCCCCCTTCATGCCGGGGTGCCGGGGCGCGCAGTGCATACAGGCGCCGACTGGAGTTCTGTCGGGCTGTCGGGGCTTGCGATTTATGCTGTATGGCTTGGACTGAGGGTTTCCATGCGGCTCCATATGGCAATGCGGCTATGTTGTGATGCGGCTATGCGTTTGGGGCTGGTCGTTCAAGTACTCAAACCCTGAGCCCAGAAAGAAGAGAGGATCAACTGGTTGCTTGTATCATTTCGGGCGAGTCAGGCTTTGTCTTGAAGCGCCGATGCGCGAAGAGAGAAGAGAGATCAGAGATTTAGGGGGTTTGAGGAGGGTTCTGGGGTTTCGGGCTACAAATCTGGATCATGTTGGGTGTGCAGTGTGCTCAAACCCCAAGCTCATGCCTTCCCTCCTTCCTGCCCCTCCCCCCCCCGGGCCACCCCACCACCCCGCCCCCCACCCCCCGCCCCCCCCCGACCCCCTGCCCCCGCCCCCCGCCCCCCCCCTGCTCCCCACCCCCCGACAAGTCTGCGAGGGGTTTATCCAGCGAATGCGCCGCCGACGCGCCAATCGTCGCGCAGCTGCTCCAGAATCCTCGGACCGGCGGTTTTTGGGGCGTTTTTCGCGGAGATTGTGCGTGTTCGGGCTTCGGGCTTGGGGGTATTTGAGGTAGGTTCAATTTTCGAGGGTGTCTGGGATTGACGTTGGCAGGCTGTTAGTTCTTTATCTTGAGTTGCCAGCGTACACACTACCTACGTGAAAGATTTGTGGTATAGGCGTAGACCCGTGCACGCCATTAAGCTTGTCGCATGGCACAAGTAAGAGTCTGCTGGCTATGCTGGCTCGAGCAGCTTTGAGTACCTGCTGCCACACTGTTGGGTTTAGGGGCTGGGGTTTCAGGTTTTGTACAATCAGAGCTTGCCTGAGCACATCTTGATCAGCATCATTTTGCAGACCCATGTATTCTTCGTTCAGCTGCGATGTGCAGGGGTTGACTGCAGCTACAGCATGCTATTCCCAGGTGCGCATGTCATGTTTGGAGAACAAGCATGAACTTTGTCACTAGGTTCTCCTGTCTGAAAAAATGCTTGCAATGTGGAATGACTCTACCCGAAAGACTCTAATGACTAATCGTTTCGCCTGCGACTGCGATTTCTATTTCCGGAAGAGCCGCCGCTGTAGCAGTTTCTGGGCAGTTTCGGGACGCTTCGTGCCGCGGGCACGCTGGTTAGTGCGTAGCGAAGCGAAGCACGGTAAGCGTGTCGTTGTTGCCTTGAACACAGTTTGCAGTGTCGAAGCCTTTGCAGCTCGAAAGGTCTGCAAAGGGTAGAGGTCTGTTCTTGCTAGGTTCGTACTTTAGATTTTCCCACCGCCGCCCCATGCACCTCCAGAGAACATGGTAGTTCCATGCTAGGATGGCTGAAATCAGCTGAACTGCTCGATTTGCGCATGTGTGACGGGGTCGTGAGGGCTGGCGGGTGGGACTTTTGCGTGAATACAACTCTAGAGACGTATGCTTGGTGCTTTACCAATCCACAGGAGCCTGGCCTGGATGCGCTTCTCGCAGGCCACAGAAGCAGCGCCCCCCAATTTACCCGAAGCCGAAGTCAAGCGGATGCCGGGGATGACTTGGGCATGTCTGATCGTTCATGGCTGGGTTTGGGAAGCTTGAGTACTCGTACGTTGGGGTAAATACATCCGGCGTCTTCACAGATGCCGGGCTACTCCAGCTTTATTTGGCGGCTTGGGCGTTTTGCTTGGCTGGCTTCCTGCGTTCAGGGGTCGGATCTCCCTCGCTCTCTCGTTCTCTCGTTCTCTCGTTCTCTGGTTCTCTCGCTCTCTCGCTCTCTCACTCTCTCGCTCTCTTGCTCTCGTTCTCTCGCGCTCTCGCGCTCTCGCGCTCTCGCGCTCCCGCGCTCTCGCGCTTTCGCTCTCTCGCACTCTCGCGCTCTCTCGCTCTCTCGCTCTCTCGCTCTCTCGCTCTCTCGCTCTCTCGCTCTCTCGCTCTCTCGCTCTCTCGCTCTCTCGCTGTCTCGCTCTCTCGCTCTCTCGCTCTCTCTCTCTCTCTCGCTCTCGCCCTCTGTCTCGCTCTCGCACTCGCTCTCGCTCTCTGTCTCGGTCTCTGTCTCGCTCTCGCCTTCTCGCTCTCGCACTCGCTCTCGCTCTCTGTCTCGCTCTCGCTCTCGCTCTCGCTCTCGCTCTCGCTCTCGCTCTCGCTCTCTCTCTCTCTCTCTCGCTCTCTCTCTCTCTCTTTCGCTCTCGCTCTCTCTCTCTCTGTCTCTCTCGCCCTCGCTCTCTCGCTCTCGCTCTCGCTCTCGCTCTCGCTCTCGCTCTCGCTCTCGCTCTCGCTCTCGCTCTCGCTCTCGCTCTCTCTTTTCCGTCGCGTGCCTGAGCTGAAGTTAGGCGTTCAGATCGAAACTGTTTGTTGGAAGGGGGGGGTCGAGCTGCAAGGCCTGATTGCTTCCCACTGCCCAGTCACCCTTGCGTTGCCGCAGGAGTGGTCCCGATCGTTTGCAGCCTCGTGGACGAGGCAGTGAAGTTGCTGCTATGCTGCCAAGACCTGACAAGCATCCCGAAGCCCCAAGCAAGAGGCCATCCCAACGCCCCCGCATATGTGCGTTGTTCGTGTGGTTTACGGCCTGGCTTTTGGGGCGACTCAGCCCGCGTGCAAGCCCCGCGGGCAAGCCGCGAAAAGAGCAACAGCTCGCTGTTTTCTTTGCCCCTTGCTGGGGGGGGAGAGTGGCTTAGAGGTTGAGGAAAAGGGGTTTTCCGCGATTATAGGGACTATACTCACCAGACAGGCTTGTCTTCGGCGGAGCTTCACTTTTGAACCGTGTACTACCCTCTCCGGACTTCAAGCCCTAGGCACGACAGTATGTGTGGGAATCCAAGGTTGCCCCCCCCCCCCCCCTCCCGCCCTCCCCTTCACCCCAAACCAACCCTTTCGCACCTCTGTGCGAGGCTTGGCAGACGCAGGGGCGCCGGCCTTGGCTGCCGGGTTCAGAGCCTTTTGGCCGTCTTCCCTGCTAGAGCGCCCCCAAACTCCTTAAAACTCTTTACTGTAAAGCTCAGAGCCCGAACACCTTCAGCTCGCCCAAAATCGAGGCCAATCGGCTTGGTGGGAACGGCTGGTGGGGGACTGGGCCTCTGAAGGGCTTTGGGGGGATTCTGCCTGAGGGTCGCTGTGGCTGACCCCTATTCAGCCCCACCTGCCTCATTAGACCTCAATGCCTGCTGAATCCTCGGCCCGCATGCGTGTCACAGTCTGCCAGATCTGAAGCTCAGCGAAAGGGCGTTACTGTGCACGATGACCCGAGCCACAGGACGGCTCACGTCCACAGACTTCGACGAGGCCTGCCCCACGCCCTTTGTGGAACTTTGAATGAGGCATTAATCGCAAGTAGGGCCCTAGTTGCAGTAAAAGTCTGGAGGCCAGGACGATATTGCGTCCATGCAATGTAAGTCGAGGCGGAGCCCTGAGGTGTCTAAAATCCTCACTCTAGAGCCTAAGCCCTCGAGTATGGCAAGGGAGCTGCTTGCAACAACCGTTCGTGATTTCAAGGGTAGGTGGACCACGCCACAGCACCCCTCAACCCGAGATGCTTGGGGAGGATCGCCTAGAGAGCAACTGCAGCAGGCGCCCGGTCCCGGTAGCAGGGCTTGGGATGGGGGCTGAGAGCTCAGGGCATTTCAGAACTTGGGAGGGGGGGAAAAGAAGGCTGGGTCGCAGGTGCAGCTTCTTGGTGCAGGACTTCTTGCGAGAGGAGGTGTTGCTTTTGGTTGTAGGTCTTGGAGTCCCCTATCGGAACACAGGTTTTAAAAGCCACTCTCAAGCGGTTGGTCAAAAGCCCCAAGGCCTAATGCTGCTAGACGCGACACTATTCTGAAGCCCTTTTGGAGGACCACTCCCAAGGCCGAAGGCCCCTGCCCTTGCCCCAAACTCTAAGCCCGAAGCCCCCCAATCGAGTTTCCCATGAGCCTGAAAGCCCCGCACCCCAAACTCTCAAGCCCGAAGCCCGCGCCCATGCAGGAAGTTCTCCATGAAGCGCGTGAAGCGCATCTTGAAGCGGTTGCGGATGCAGGTGCCAAACGTGAGAGAGAGAGAGAGAGAGAGACGAGAGACAGAGAGACAGAGAGACGGAGAGACAGATAGTGCGTGCACGAGCGCGCATGTGTGTGTGTGTGTGTGTGTGTGTGTTTGCTTGTCTGTTTGTCTGTTTGTCTGTTTGTTTGTTTGTTTGCCACAAACACACACACACAAACACACAAACACACAAACACACAAACACACAAACACACAAGCACACAAGCACACAAGCACACAAGCACACAAGCACACAAGCATACAAGCACACAAGCAC